CAAAAAGCCCCGATGCAACGGGCGGCGTCCCAACGGGCGGGGGGGGCTGGGCAAGGCATGGCGGTCTTGGGAAGGACGGCCAGGCGCGGGGGCTCTAGGGCATGGTCGAAAGGATCCTGGAATTCTAGACGGCAAGGAGGAAAGCTAGATGGTGGGCAGGGCGCATGTACCTGTGCTGCGCTAGCCACACGGCTGCCCGTCTCTTCGTCTCGTCGACGAGGTCGTCCTGCTTCGGCCTCCAAGGTAAAAAAGGGTCGTCTACCTAGGTCAGTAGCTCGAGGGGTGTGGTGGATGGTGGACAGGGGTGCCTTGTGCGATGCGCGCTTACCGGCTGCAGGGATCTGGCATCCATGTGAGCTCCAGGCTCTGAGCTCTGACTCCTTCTGCGCCTTGAGCTCTGACCTCCCTCTCTGCGTCTCTGCGTCTCTGCGTACATGACCTTGACCTTGACCCCGCGGGTTGAGTGCTCTTGTCAGTTGAAGGGTGGCCGCGTATGGCCAGGATCGGCAGCACGCTGCCGTCGGGAAGCGAGGCAGTCCCCATGTGCTCTTCTGGCTTCTCCGAGGGGAAATGGGTCAGAGAGAGGATGGACGAGTTGATGAGTCGCTCTCGATCAATCTTGTCGTGCGAGAGGCGCGCGTATGCCGCTGGCCAAGAGTGCATGTATGCCGAGACGACGCAGCCGGCAGCAAGTGATGCCGTGGGTATGTTGGACGCGGTGGACTCGATAGCCGACCTTGCTTGAGGTGGTCTGGTGGATGGAGATGCAGGTAAGCTCCCCAAGCCTGCCATGGTGGTGGGGAGCAAGGCCAGCCATGATGATGTTGCCGGGCTGCTTTGGTGTGGAGGCTAAGGCGGGACGTAAAGAGGGGAAATGGGCATAATTAGCACGGCTTGCTGAGCTACCGCCTCTGCTGCTGACATTGGCGTTGGTTGATTGGCTGCGTAGGCGGGGCATCGTCGGTGACTGGCCGAAGGTCATCTCAAGCTGTGCTAATTTGGTCTTTGACCTAAGGAGTGCGTGCGCCTGCAGTTCGATAGATGGGCTAATTTCTCATCGGATGGCTGCCTGTCCGTCGGTGTGTGTTCCCCATTCAATTAGCCCCGGTCGTGCCCACCTCTTCGTACATGCTTCACTGTGAGAGAGGTACATAGGTACATGTAGACCTTCTAGGCAGGGAGGTACTTACCTCCTCGTCTGTCTTCAAGCAAGCGAGCGAGTGCATACTCATTGGTCGGGCAGAATGGGAAACAACGTCTCATCGGGCTCCTGCTCATGGCTGCATGCCCACCGTTGCAACCCTACAGCAACGCTCCAGAATTTGGCTCTGGCTGTAATTTACACCAGACAGCCCTGCGACTCTAGCTTCCCTCGCCAGCCTTACATCGCTCCGTCGCGTCGGGCTCAAAGGAGTCTTTCAAATCTCGTCTCGGTGACAAACTCAGTCCCGCGTTTCCCTCAGCATAACGACCTGCCCAAAGTGCGAAGAAATAACGGGGTACCCCCAGACATTGCGTTTCGTTTCATGGCTCCAGGGCACCCCCTTTCTTCGGTTTCAGGGCATGCCGCCCCTCGCCAACTGCGCAGCCAGGCCCCCAGCATACGAACTTGCCTATACAGGTACAGCGCTCAGACGGCAGCCTTCCATCGCCTGGGCACGGTGCCCTGGAGGTGCTGTAAACTCGCCCCGAGCTCCCCCCCGTTCCTCGCCTGAGGTAGATTTCCGTCCAAGCTCCAGTTCGTCCGAGCTCCTCCTGCCTTGCCACTTGCGCTGCGCCCGTCCCCCCCCCCCCCACGGATCTTCTGATCTCTGCTGATCTCCTGGTCCCGTCCCCTGATGATGCCCTGGAAATCAAACACCAAATGCACCCCTGGCTCTCTCCTGTCACCCCCCCCCTCGCGTGTTTCTCTCGGACCTAGAGTTCTCTCTGGCCCAGAGCGCGGCATGTTCCTCCGATGGACCTACCTGACTTTCCCTCATGACAAGACTAGCTTTCCACCTGAGGGAAACCTTCAAGACCCAAGTCGCCCCAACTACAGTCACCCCCCCCCCCGGAGCAAAAGACCGCACGTCGCAGATGCAGCTAACTCAAATCTCCACAGGCAACATGCCGTCCTCTCCGAGAAGGGGAGGGAGAAAAGAAAGCCTATGTCAAGTTCGTCGACCGCGTCCCGTCGTCCAATCGCCCGACACCTCCCCCTATTCATCTCCCAGACTCTGCTCATTCGCGTCCCCCCCCCCCTTCCAACGTGCCACCGCAGTCGCTAGCTCCAGCCTACCTCGTCTGGAGCTTCCAAGACGACATGGCTGATCCTTCTGTCGAATCTCGCACCTCAGCCCTCGAGATGCGGCCTCCCGGTTGACCTGACCAAGCCTGACTGGCCGTGACACTACTAAGCGAGAGAGTGAGAAACACCAACAAGGCAGAAAATCATGAACAAGCCAGAGAAAGAGAGAGAGAGACGGCCTGAGTCTCGATGGGCCCCCAACATCGCGGCTGCGACAAGGCATCGCGCTTCTTGTTGGCCGCCAGAAAGGCCAGACCCGTTCGCCTCGCTGGGTGGTGCGCCACCAACAGACACTGTAGACCGCTCGCCGGGCATCATCATCTCTTCCCACCCGACGAAGGAGCCATGCGCATGCAGCTAGCTCCCTCGCAACGTCTTGGTAGGGTGGCCCGTATGACCCAACAGCCGCCGTTTACCGCACTGCATTTACGCCAACCTGACCTCTCACGACGCGAGTGCACGTCTTCTCACAGCAACAACGAAACGAGACGAGAGGGGGCTGCATGGTACGCATATTGTCAACATCATGTTGGATTCTATCTTCTTTCGTGATCTGCGCGCCATCTCCCCCATTCGGTGAAATGGGATGTTCATGCAGCTGATACATTATAATAACACACCGTCCCGCACAGGGGGCCGTCCCTCGATGCCCTACTTAGATGCCTGCCGAACGCTCCAAGGCCCGCGAGGGAAAGAGAAATAAAAAAGAGAACAAGAACTGGGTAGTGTGAACCGCACACGCGCATCCTCCAGGTCCTCGCAATGCAATGCAGCCGAGCCAAGCGCCGTGATACAGCGCCAACATGACGATGGTGCCGATGATGATGATAATGATGAACGGGGGGAATATGTGCTAGCCCGTCTCGACAAATGAAAAGAACAAGAAAAATATTCAACACCCTCCACCAATCTCCGCAACCTTTTCGCTCTGCGCGCCGGCCTAGTTGTCGTGCCTAAAGGTGCACTTATCACCCCTGGCACACTTGCCTTGTTGCCAGAACGAGCACGGTTTCGTCCCAATGAGCGCCTTGTTCGCCGGCCGATGAGGCGCCAACGTCGCCCCGCCTGGCGCGTTGCCCTTGCGCTTGCCGTTCTTGTCTCTGTCCCGTCGGCCCCCATCGCGTTCGTCGTGTTCGAAGCTGTCGCGCCTCTCGCCGCGATCACGGTAATCCAGGTCGTCATAGTCCAGTGCGTTCGGGTCGTGCGGCGGCTCGAAGCCACCGTGCTCCCGCCCGCGCCCTTGTTGTGCTGGCGCCTGCTGCTGTTGCTGCTGAAGCTGCGAGAGCGCCATCAGCTGTTGGTACCCTTGGTCGTTGGGGTTAAGCTCGTATGCGCCACCGCCGCCCGGGGTCTGGGCTTGAGGCAGGCTGATTTGTCCGAGAAGAGCCTGCAACTGAGCATCGCCCAGCTGCGGCCCCTGCCCGTTGGTGCCCTGCTGCGCCTGCTGAAGGAGAGCCATGTACTGCGCGTACTGCTCGTGCTGCTGCTGCTGCTGATAGTACGCAGCCCAGGCTTCCTCGTTGCTCTGCGGGGCGGGTCTGAGCCTGGTGATCCGCGGCTTGAAGACTGGCAGAGGGTTGCTGTGCCTGTCTCTCGACCTCGCGGCGGGCAGCTTCCCCAGCCTGTTTCTTGGCACGCAAGGCGGCCATCTCTTTGAAACCCTGTGCGCCACTCTCGTGATCGCTCTTCGTTGTTGGCCAGCCATGCGGGAGGCGCGGTGGCCGGAAACGGCCAGTCCTTTGCTACTGCAAATAGCTCTTCGAGAGCGTCTACCATAGCCTGGAAACCGGGATCGGGATAGTCGTGACGCCGACGCGTCTTGGGCGTTGTTGTGCTGTAAGGATCTCTTGAGCGCCACAGCCTCATTCGTTCCGACGCAAGAAGGCTGAGAACCTGCTCGGGAGCGGGAACATGAGGAATTGGTGGCACTTGCGTTGCATGCGGGAAGAGAGGCTTCGCATGTTGTTGCGGTGGTGTCATGTTGTAGTTGTACGTCTCCGCCGTCTGCTCCTGTGGTGCTGGCACAAGATTGCCTAGGAGCGAGTCGATCTTGGCTGCAGGATCATCCTTGAGTTGATGCAGACGCTTGGCAGCGTAGTACGTCGCTGCATCAGGTCCCTGGCTCGCAATGTCGCTCCACCGGTTGCGGATTTCTTGGTATTTGGGACCATCGCGCGGCAAGTGGCCAATCTTGGCACCCGAGTCGGGAAGAGATGGTTCGGGGACGGGCGACTTGGGGGTTGGCGGAATATCAGAAATTGACGTGTAAACAAACAACAGCTCCCTTCCCTCCCGCTCTTTGATGGAGTCCTGCTCCTCAGTGTGGAAAGTCTGGGTCCCGCCGCGCGTCACGAAAGCCTTGTCTCGGAAGTCCTTGGGAATGGTAGAGAGGTCCGTCGGTGTTGGGTCAGTCCAGGGACGGTAGGGCAGCTCATCATCTTCGTCGTCGTCCTCGGTATAGTTGCCACGCTGCTTCAGCATCATACCTTCCGAACGGTCATCGGCCGCATCTCTTGTCATATTATCCTGGTCCTCTGCCGCCTCCTTGTGGAAAATGCGGACTTGAACGAGCTCTGCCTCTGGCCTCCAAGTGACGCGCAGCTTGCGACGGGCTTCTTTCCGCAGACGCTTCGCTTGCTCTTCAGGTGTCTCGGGGACTTCACTCTGCTTGGTATCCTTCTTGGATGCCTGTGCATCCAGTTTTGGGCGTATTTATGGAGTCGAGAAGAGAACCGATGCTCGAGAGAGCGCTGGATGATGCGGTCGCCTTGGCCGGAGCAGCGCGAGGCTCCCGCTTTGCCTTCTTTGGCTCGCGGTCAATATCCATCAGCATGGGCCCAGACTTGGCCGGCATCAGCCGCGCTGTTTACGCTTCCTTCTGGTTTGATCACGGTCTTGTTGAGGAGCCGGTTCTTGCCAGCTAGAGTAGACGAGTTCGCGGGACGGGCTTTAGTGCCGGCAAGCTTCGAGAGAAGGCTGGTGCCCATCTGAGGCTTGGTGCCAACCTTGGCACCGAGGACACTGCTTGTTCCCTCGACGTTCAACTTTTTGCCGGGGCGGGAGTCTGTGTCGTCTTCATGAGGTCGTTTTGTGGGTGATGCTGCAACAGGCGTCTTGCTGGTGACGCCAGGTTTGACAAGTTTCGTAACAGGCGCACTGGCGGCAGACTTTTTGGCATCCGCTCCATTGACGGGCTCTTCCTTCTTGATGCGAGATGCCACTGTCTTGATAAGTTCCTTGACCTCGCTGTCGCCCTTGTCTGCGAATCTCTTCCGAACCGTCTCAAAGTTGACTGCGTCGGCAACCTTTTTCGTCAAGTTGATATTGGACATGAATCGAAGTGTGGCTTTGGGTAGAGGGCCAGAGTAGTCGGTCGCCTTGATGCAACCGATCAAGAGATTCACGAGGCTCAGAACGCCCTTCTGATGTCCGCCAAGGTTCTCCACCACAGCATCATCGCCATGTTTATGGGCGGCGTCGAGGACCTTTACGAACATGTCCTTCTTCTGCTCACCAACCTTCTGCAGTTGGGCCACTTCGCTCTCTGGCCGTTTCTCCTTGACCGCCTGATCGACCTCCTGCTTGGCCTTGGTCATGGCGGCTCTCAACTTGATGAAGAACTCACCAAGACTTTGCACAGCACCAGCGATCAGGGCATTGGTACGAACAGCAGATGGATCGATGTACACAATGCCGAGCACATCCCAGGCCGCAGCCTCTACTGGGTCTACTGGACGGACCTCGGGTCGTATGGGCTTCTTGCGTTCTTCTTCCTCCTCTTTCCGCGCCTTCCGCTGCGCCTTGGCCTTGGCAGCTTCGTCGGCTTTCAGCTGCTCCTGGAAGGTGAAGGGGTAATCGGCATATTTAGGCTTCCGGTTGCCAAGCGCTTTCATTTCCTTTTGGTATTGGTCGATGAATGGCTTCGCCTCTCTCTCTCGGTCTTCCGGCTTTCCTACAAAGTTCAGAGACGGTTTGTATTTGTCTGTGAACTTTCCCTGTATTTCGCAGGGGAGCTCATGATTGGCACCAGGAAGTATACGTCTGCCACTCTGTGATGGTAGCGCGACAAGAGGAGCTAATCTGTCGTAGCTTTTGGGTGTTGGGAGTTTTGCCGTTTCCGTCGATATGAGATAGTGTGCTCCGGGTACAAGAGGGAAAGCCTTTTTCGCAGCAGCAGGCCGCTTGGCGAATTGGACAACGGCGGCCAGCTCGTCATCTGTGCTTGTGGGGGGTACGAGACTCTCTTTGTTGTCGAATGCTGTTCTTAAGATTACTGGCCGTGGAGAACCGGCGGACTCTGGCTCTGACTCCTTCTTCACAGTACGCTTTCGTTTCTTGGCTGCTTGCTCAGCCTGCAGTGACTCCTGAAAGCCAGCTTGCGACACCGTCTGAGGGGACGGAACGCTTACTATGGATTGCTGGTCCAGCGGCTGAGGGCTAGCTGAAAAGCCGGCCGAGGCTTGGTGTTGCACTTGAGGTTGGGACTGTGGCTTCAGCTCGGTAGGTGGGCGGGCGAGTGGCTGAAAGGTTGCTGTTGAGCTTGGATGAGAATACCCCATTTGCTGCTGAGGAATGAACTGGGCCTGTTCATACGGCACCTGTGATGGGTTGGGTAGAGCCTGGACGTTCTGGTGTGTGCTTTGTTGTGCAGCGATTGGTTGGGCTTGGTAAGGATGTGGTGAGCCGGAGAATACCCTGTCAGGTTGAAGAGAACGTGGCTGCTGCTGCTGTTGGTGGAGGTGTGGTTGGAGTTGATGTTGATGTTGGGGTTGAGAGAAGCCTTGCGCTGGAGAGTATGTTTGCGGCCTCAAGTCAAACTGCGGGTGCTGTTGTATGGGCGTGTGGCTCTGCTGGCGTTGTTGGGTTATCAATTGGGCCTCCGGAAATGTCGGCACCTGGCTGTTGTAGGCAGATGCACCTTGCCCCTGGTACTGGTAAGGAGCCTGAGAGAACTGCTGGGGATGGCCATGGCCATTACTGGGAGTTTGGCTATGATGCTGGCCAAGACTCGCAGGCTGGCTGTATATGTCTTGATGGAAATTATCTAGAGCCTGCATTGACTGGTCTTGTGCTGGTTGTGAGTACGATCCATCGAGCGCGAACTGATTTGAGCCGTGATGAAACCCCCCGTGGCTCAATGTTGACATGGTATCGTGATCATTGGTGATGGTTGGCTGTCCCTGATGCGAGGAGCCGAGCTGGGAGTACGCATCCTGTCCTGGCATCGGGTGTGACCAGCTCTGGACATTCTCGAATTGATTGGCGCCATCTTGGTAGCTGTATGAATCGGACCAGAGAGCGTTCTGATCCTGGCCTGCGCCTGTCTGGCCTGTATTCTGCCAGTCTTGCATCGTGGATCAACTTGATGGAAGTTGACGTGAGCAATTGCCCAGAAAGACAAGATTCTGATTGGTTCTGCAGATGGATGGGGATGGATGAGATGATTTGCAGATGAGGGACTGGGTAAGAGCCAATCAGCACAGGTGTAGACGATGTACCGCGCGAGAAAGAGGCTAGCGGGAACAGGAAAGGTGGGGCAACTCGCGGACAGCCTTTGGGCGAGAGAGTATGGTGGATCCAAAGTACAGCGGCACTTACAAATTGCTGAGAAGGTACCTGAAAGTGCAGGGTGCAGCGTCAGCATTCTGTTCAGCGGCCTCAAGATCGACCATGGACAGAGTTCGGGTCTTGGACCTTTTTTTTTTGTTTTTTGGGCAAGTGTGGAGGGTTTGCATACCAAGGAAAAGGCAATCCAGCGACGGGGAATCCGTCAATGATTATATGGGTTGTTTTCTGTGTAGGATGGAAATCTGCACAAAGGCGATTAGCTTCTGCTAGAACAGAACTCTTTGATCTGCAAGTTGTGCGAGAGGGAAGGAATAAGTGCAAGGAGGATGAAGGCAGAGTCGGCGAATCGCATTCGGCACTGGAGTCCATATTGATCCGACACAGTTCTGAAGAGGCTCGAGGAAAAGTAAGCGCAGCAGGCAGTCAGTGTTCCCGAGACGAGGAGAACGACGCTGGAAGGAGAAAGGCTGCGGTCGTGGAAACCCGTGGCCAACAAGTCTGGTGGTTGACCAGAGCGTATTCCTCGCACCGAGTTGCTGATGAGAGCCACCACAAGTAACTGTTTTTTCGAGAAGTGCTGTAATTGCCGGCCTTTTTAGCAGCCATCTGTCAAATCCGCTCGAAGACCCCAGCGGAAGTTGATGTGGTGCACTAAAAGCGAGCCCTTTCAGAACAACTCCGAAGCAGAACCTGCTGCAAATACCAGCCCTGGACGAAAAGCGGTGTCTGGGTCAATTCCGACCTGCAGCAGTAGTGTGTGTTTGACTGGTTCCATGATCGCAGCGAGCCACCCCACCAACACCACTGGCCGATCCTCGCCAACTGGATCCTGGAGCTGCCGCCCAACGAACGCGTCCTGCCTGCTTTGCACTTTGCAGACGAGTTTAAAGGGCAGTTCTACTCGCGAAGCCTGCCTGCTCTCCTCGCGTATCAAGCGCGAGCTTGTTGGGCTGCCTGGCTCGTCCTCATGTTGAACCTGCAATTAAAGCTGCGAGATCCCTGGGTGCGAGAGACCAAAGAGACTCTCAAACAAGATGCAAAGCTGTTCACGGAAATTTTGACGATGCTGCACCTCCGTCGAGAGGTGCAGCACATTCAGCGGCCAGAAAACGCGATTTTGCGGGTGGGCTTGGGAAAGGGGATGGGATAGTGTTTTGAGGGGGTTATGAGGGCAATTGTCAGTCGAGCGGGGAGAGGAGGTCACCGTACCCTGCAAACGTTGTTCCCAACGACTCAAATCGCGCTCTTGCGCACTTCCTTTGCTGGAGCTGGTCGCGTGACGAGTCCCAAATGCTTTCCCTCTTATTTGATGGCAATCATTACAGAAGCGGACATGATTGATAGCAGAAAATTAAGGGAGAGAGGAAACGACCGCGAGAAAAGAGGGTTGATGGATGAATGGGCCGAAAGGGATTTGCGCGTGATCTGTGTGATGACGGCTGGATGGGCGCCAGAAAGTACGTGTCGAGGTGGAATGAGTAGTTCTCTGCGACTCTCCCAGAGCTTCCTGTGGCCAGGAAACGACGCGGCAAGAATCAATTTATACGAGCAGAAGCAAGCCTTTAGACGCGGTGTAGGTCGGCTTGTCGCGCGCGATGGCTTCCGCGAACGTATTGATGGAAAGGCGTCGCGGGTTTACAGAGAAGAGATGGTTGGTGAGAAGGGGAAAAGTCGGTCGCGCTTTCGCACCGACAATGACTGTCAGAGGTCAGGAAGGTGATTGTTGCCCGATATGCCAGGCAGCAACGCATATATCGGATCGCCGCAAGACACCGATTGTAGACGAGTGGGTTGGCGCTATGCAGGTAAAGGCTGTACCGGCGTATCCAGCTGTTCACCCCACCCGCCCTTGTGCCAGCAGACGACTGACGGCTGGGCTGTTTCAGTGGGTCCGACCTTGAGAACACGGAGGCTAGAGGCGGGATAGCTAGGTGCCTGGCCTCGAATAGTTGCGATTCGTGGTCACAGTTCACGTTGACGGCCGACCTTGCTTTTCGATCCTGCGCCAGCCGAGTTTCACACAATAATCCTCGCTTCCTGCATCGGGGCGATCAGGATAGCTCCTCTCACGCGCGACACACACTACACCAATCACCACACAAACCCCAGCAGGAGCTCAATAGCTCTTCGCCATCTGCAATGGCATCCAAAGGCACCTCCTTGAGGGACCGCCAGATCGGTTAGTACATTGGAGCTTCAGGATTGTTCTTGATACTGGAGAGACACTAACGTATTGCAGCCTCCCTCAAGAAGATCTTGAACCTGAACGATGCCATTGATACGACCGAGACCGACGAATCCCACGTGAGCGCGATCGCACCGTCATCCATCCTCACGGCAGATGGCGAACCGATATGGAAGGTCCTTTGCTTCGACGACCTCGGACGTGATGTTTGCAGCTCTGTCCTGACGGTCCAGAACCTCAGGTCTCTGGGCGTTACACTCCACACGTACTGTGGCTCTCCAGACACTCGACTGTGGCACGGCTATGGGCTAACCACAGAATAGACATATTGGCGCCTCGCGACACCCGATCCCAGACGTCCCCGTTATCTATCTTGTCGAGCCAACGCCCCAGAACATGAAGCAGATCACTGCCGATCTACAGAATGGGCTCTACTCTCCAGCATATGTAGGTCTTACGCTGCGAGGTCCGTGAAGATTTTATCCCTGACCAGCCCACAGATCAATTGTTTGGAGGCATTCCGCGAGCAGCCTTGGAGGATTTCGCCGCAGAGACTGCCGCTGCCGAAACATCAGAAAATATTGCCCAACTCTTCGACCAATACCTCAACTTCATCGTCGAGGAGCCTGATCTTTTCAGGCTGGGAATCCCAAAGGCATACTCGGCGCTCAACAGCGCCAAGACGACCGACGAGAAGCTTGATGAGCTGGTAGACACTATCGTCAATCGGCTGTTCAGCGTTGTCGTGACCATGGGTGGGTCCACTGTGCCGTTCTCGAGACGCGTGAACTAACAGTCAGCTAGGCGTTATTCCCATCATTCGGTGCCCTAAGGGAGCGGCTGCTGAAATGATATCTGCAAAGCTCGATCGGAAACTGCGCGACCACATCCTCAACTCGAAAGACAACCTCTTCTCTTCAAGTGCCCGGTCAAACACATCAGCGACACCGACATCACGCCCTGTGTTGGTTATTCTCGACCGAGATGTGGATCTTCTCCCAATGCTTTCGCATTCCTGGACATACCAGTCCCTGGTGCAAGACGTGCTCTCTATGGAGAAGAGGCGCATCACCATTGTGGATGAGGGAAAGACGAAGAAGACTTATGATCTGACCAACGAGGACTTCTTTTGGAGGAAAAACAGCCTGTTACCGTTTCCCCAGGTCGCCGAAGACATTGATTCTGAATTGACGAAGTACAAGGAAGAGGCCACGCAAATCACAGCCAAGACGTCAGTACAGCGGGATCATTTGTTTCGGGTTCTCTGCTAACTGTGTCGACAGCGGTGTGTCCGATCTCGAAGACCTGCAAAATGATACGAGCGCCAGTGCGCAGCACCTCAAAGCTGCCATCACGTTACTTCCCGAACTGCGAGAGCGCAAGGCCGTGCTGGATATGCACATGAATATCTTGGCTGCTCTTCTCACCGGCATTAAAGATCGGCAGCTAGACAACTACTTCCAGCTCGAGGAGAACATCACCAAGCAGACCAAGGCGCAAATGATGGAGCTCATCAAGAGCGATGAGGGACAAGCCGCCGACAAGCTGCGACTCTTCATCTACTTCTTCCTGAGCTCCAACTCGGAACAGGCCGAACTGAGTCGAACGGAGTGGGAGGGCTTCGTCGAAGCGCTGACGGCCGCGGGCGCGGACGTCGAGTGTCTGCCATATATCCGACAGTACGTTATCTAGCCATGGCGCTTACCTCTCTATTTTTATCTTCGTGGAAGGGCTTTTGCTGACATTTGCAAGACTGAAATCGACGACAAAGCTGACGAACCTCACCACCATCAACAACCCGTCGCCCCAACAGGCCGGCAGCACCGACTTGTTCGGCCGCTTCTCGTCCATATCCAGCCGTCTCACCGACCGACTGAAGGAGAGCGGCGTACCCACGGGTCTCTCCTCCAACTTTGAGTCGCTCATCGGCGGCATCAAGACGTTCCTGCCCGCCGACCGCGACTTCACCATTACCAAAATCATCGAGAGCATCATGGACCCCTCGACGGCCTCGAGCACGGCCATCGCCAAAACGGAAAACTACCTCTACTTTGATCCCCGCTCCGCCAACGCCCGCGGCACCATGCCCCCGCCCAGCTCCGTGCGCGCCGGCGGCCCCGGCTCGGCCCTCCCCGGCGGTCTTCCGGGCCAGGGCGGTCCCGGTGGCCCCGGAGCCGGCACGGGCGCCAGCTTCGGCCAGCGCCGCCAGGGCTTCTCCGAGGCCATCGTCTTCACCGTCGGCGGCGGCAGCATGGACGAGTACGGCAACTTGCAGGAGTGGGTCGCGCGGACGGGCGGCGATCGCGCGCGGAAGAGGGTCGTGTACGGGTCCACGGACCTGCTCAACGCCCAGGCGTTCTTGGAGCAGGAGTTGAACACGCTGGGAAGGGAGGTGGCGTCTTAGGCGCGGGGTCTGCGTGCCGAGTTCCCAATACAACCAGTCTTCCCAACGTTTGCAGGTATGCCGTCAGTCGGCGTGGATGAGGCGGTTAAAAAGCCACCAAGGAGAATGCGGCCGTCGTGTGATTCTCGCCATGCTGTGACTGTGTAATCCCTCTTGACGCGAGCGAGACACTAGGAGAGAGACATACGTGCGAGAACCATTCGTCACTACATCAACAATCAAGACAGCATTCACGAAAAGGGAGCCGAGTCTTTGATTTCGATTTCTTCATAAACCCAGTCCCAGGCGTCAAGCCGGACAACTAGACAACCAGAACAGCTAAGGTACAACAACAAGCTTACTCAAATCCCCCGCCCGCCCCATTCATCCAATCCACCGAGTCCTTCGTGTTTTTCTCTTGTCCCCCTGACTCGATCCTCCCCTGTAAACAATCAACAAGCGTGCGCTTTCTTTCATCTTTCGTCATGCACCGTGTAATGTTCGTTGAGAGACGGGAGAGTGGCCCCCCCTTTGCGATTGTGTCTCTCTTTCTTTCGCCGCGTCTCGGGTATTGTCCACGCCCAGTCATGAATGAAGCAACTGAAACAAATCAAAATCAAACCAAACAGCCAAAAAAAAAACCATTCTTCTGGTCTCCAGAACGAAGCAGGAAGAAGAAAAGGGGAGAAGAACCCGCGTGTACAGAATCGAAAGGAGAAGAAGACCAAAATCTTACACGCCCCTAAACATGCGCACGACCAGGAACCACATGGCGCCAATGAACTTGAACGCCGACAGGCCGGCCACGGACCACAGGACAACAGTCATGTAGATGTTGGCCCTGGCGTTCGGGTCTTCTTCCTCGGCGGTCTTGTTCCTTGGGTCGATGCGGTCGAGGCCGGCCGCACTGAGAACGACAGCCGCGAGGCCAAAATTCGTAATCATCCAGGCGAGGACCGTGATGGAACGGACGCCGCGGTAGTAGTCCATCTGAGCTTCTGCTCTCTGTGCCTCTGTCGGGGTGTGAACCACCTTGATGGGCTTGGAGCCAAAGGCGGTGAGCTCGCGTTCGTACTGGGCGTTGAGATCCGACTCATCAGGCAGGTCTGTCTTGCCGGAGCCGTCCTTCGTGCTGACGGAGGGCAGCTTTTCTGCCTGGTCGTCGCCCTTGGTACCCCAGGAAATATCGTGCGTGTTGCAGAAGGCGTAGACGTTGAGGATGTTGATGTAGGTTGGCGTGAGCAACATGTATTGGACGAACGAGGTGAACATGTGCCAGGGATCGAACATGAGGAACGACGCGAGGAACCAAATACCGTACGTCGACATGACGGAGACGATCAGCGTGTAGAAAACAGGGTTTCTAAACAGTTCATCCAAGCTGAAAGGGGTACCGTCGTTGACGTCTGCGATAATGGCCTTGACAGCAATGAAAATGGCCGCGAACATGAGATATCTGTACGAGTGATTAGCTGGGAGACTGGTGAGTGACAAGCTCGCATCAAAAACTTACACCATGATGATCGCCCAGAAGTACACCATGGTTGTGTAGTACCACCTCGAGCCGGACGGACGGTTACCCATGCTGAGGACGAAGCAAGTGAAGAGCGCAACGCCGTACAGCCATGTAAAGACAACGCCGAGAATCTCACCGGTCCTACCGAGGAGTTCATCGCCGCCGAGACTCTTTGTCAGGATACTAAAGACGAGGAAGAAGTGCCAACGGCAAACCACGCGAGAACCATAGTCGATGACGAGGAAGATGAACTCGATGAACAGCATGACCTTTCGGAGGAAGGAGTGGTCTGAGCGGAAGAATTGGTAAAAGTGAGCAATGGCATAGATGGCGGCGAAGAATGAACCGTTGAGCCATCGTCGTCGTTGCAGAACCAGTTCTGTGACCGTATCCGGAACATCGGTTTCGCCCGTGGCCGACTTGACGTACTGCAGAATCCAGTGACAGTTGCGCTTGGTCACTAGCTCGAAGCAGAGAATACGATCCTCGGCCAGATACATGTTGGACTCGAAGATGCCCGCATCAGAGCCGTGAAGCGTTTCGCCAGCGAAGTACTTCTCCAGGGGGCCCTGACCGTTCTTGTCGTTCTGCAGCGCAACGTAGCGATACGCCGAAAAGGCACCGGGCAAGACGGAGATGAAACCAAAGGCCGATTCCAAGGGTTTGTCCAAGATGTTACTCATCTTGTACTCAAAGTTTTGTGTGGCGATCAGGGGGTTGAGCAGGTTCTTGCCACCGGTACCCAACATGGCTTTGATCTCACCACATGCACCAGCGCACATGGGCTCGAGGTCGAACGCCTTCCAGAGGTGGTAGATCGAGTTGCCGCCCGGCTTGGTACCAGCATCGAGAAGCACGCAAATGTTGGGGTCGAGGACTCTGCCGAAAGCAGAGAAGAACCATCTGTGCGAGTTGATCTTCTTCTGGTTCTTTTCCTTGAGGCAGAACAGGATCTGAACGGGCTGCTGCTTCGGGACAAGCTGAACCACACCCTTCTCGATGCGCATGCCGACCTGGGTGGTGTACTCGTAGATGTGAGACGTCACGTCCTTGCCATTGACCTGCTGCTTTGCAATGCCCTCTTGGTACACGCCCATACCGGCCAAGAGCGCGCGAGTGCGGGGGTTGATCTTGGACCGACCGTCGCTGACGACGCAGACGACAATCTTCTTCCAGGCGTCCTTGCCCCATGTCTTACTCTCCTTGCGGTTGCACATGTACTCAATGTTCTTGAAGACACCAATCATGGAGCGCGCGAACAGAATCTCATCTTCGTTGTACATTGTGACGACAATGAACAGCTCAGTATGTCGCGGTTTCGAGAAGAGTCTCTGTCGAAGAGTAAAGTTCTCGTCGTAGAAATGGTCGGGATCACACGTTGCGGCAGAGTACCGCATGTGCGTAAACTCATCACGCTCGCCGTGCGGCAGCTGATTCAGCAGTCTGGGGGGGACAGGACAGTCGAGTACGAGGTTGCCCCGGTACAACAGAACCTGCTTCACCGTCTTCCACCTCTTGATGCCGCCGCCAGCGCCTTGCGGCGTGGGCTGGTCCTGGTATGGCTCACTCGCGTGGGAGTCCTGGTGGGGCAGCATCGGCCGCAGGTCGTCGTGGTCGTAGCCCGGCTGGCCGGGGTCGTAGCCAAGCGGAGTGCCCTCCATGGGAGTAGGCTCGTAGGGCTGATTGTAGTAGGCATCGTGATGAGCCTCGGGGTTGACAGCGTAATCTGTCTGGTACGGGCCTCGTTGGTGGGGGTCAGCGAAGGGGCTGTTCCTGCTGAGGTTGTCTACTGATTGCTAGAGGGGCAATGAAGGTTAGCTGATCTGTTGCTGCCTGAAAAGTGGACATGTTGCACTCACGGCGGCGTTCAGCTGAAGCTGGTCGCTCGGAGTACCATATCTGCCGGGCACAGAGCCAGGAGACGGACCCGTCTGAGGGTAGTCGAGCTGCTCTGGCCGCCCGTAGGGACGGTCGTCTAGTTGGTAGCCTTGCTGCATGGGGTGGCCTGGTGAAGGTGAACGCCGTACACGGTCGTTGTAGAAATCGTCGTCTGTAGAGCGCGGATATTAGATTTGTGGAGTGGAAAGTAGCATGCAGATGTTCCAGAGGCGAAGGCGAGTGGTGACAGTAGGATCACGAGGATGAACACAGAGACAGCCCTACTGTCTGTTGGATTCACAAGGACGAAGGCGGCGTCCAGAGGTGGGTGGGGTTTCGGTGAAGTGTGGACAGGTGATGATGGAGACGCTTTCTCAAAATATTGAGAGTGGGAAACGGGTCAAGGGAATACGAAAGGTTAGGAAAGTTCCTACTCGCCTAAACGATTATACGCCATGGTTCACAGGGGGGGGTGTGGATGTGACAAGACGATCTGGGGAACGTGTGTTTGAGGCCAATGGGCCGTGTGTGTACTCTGATCGTCTTTGGATTGCTGCGTTGTGCGCGCTGTCTGTCGGTGTGCTCCCTAGAAGTCGTCCGTCAATGGGATTGATTGTTCTCGAGCTGGCGCGCCGCAGCTGGGTGGAGGGGGTGTCCGAGGTTGCGACGAGAGGGCTACGTGTGTATGTGCGACAAGACGTCAACTCGTGCGCAGGGTCCCTGCCAGGTTTCTTGAGACGGAGCCGGATCGGATGCGATGCGACGTGATGCCGGTGGATCGTGTCGGTTGAGAGAAGAAGTCATGCGATGGGGGATCGAGGAGGGTCAAAGGTGGTCGAGTGGTACCAGAGAGATGCGGCAGCGGGAGGCCCTTTCGATTAGGGGGGGCGCGCCTTCTCGGGGTTTCAAGCTGATGAAGATGAAATTCGTAGCAGATGACGGCGGGCATGCGATGGGCGATGGGCAGTAACAAGGGTGTCTGGTTGGATTGCCGCCGTTGCTTTGGTAGCCGTTTCTGGTTGCTTGGGAGCGAGGGTAGGGAGAGAGGGTGAGTGTGGGTGGACGGGACAGATGGTGGTGGGTCACAGCTTTAATTCCAA